AAAAAAAAAAAACTAATAAATAAAGTGATTTTAAGCTTCTAAAATAAAACATAATCGTCACTAAAATCCTTGACGTGTTTGGAACAGAGAATATGGGAAAATCTCGAGTGTTACAATAATAGAACTATAACGTAAAATATAAGACTCAATAGGGCTTGAAGTAGATTTAAAAATGGTATTGAGTATAAACCCATTCGTGACACATGTTTTACTTTCTCATTGTCAAGAACTAGATAAGAAGTTAGTATAATAACATGATAATTAACATAAATATAAGTTATATAATTAACTTTAAATATCTACTATCCGTGTATCTAAACCAGTTACAAATCAAACAAAATCAGTATATTACATCCAAAAGTAGAGTATGTAAAAAGATATATACACAAAATTTTCCTTTACCTGATAAATTAGATATTTCTAAAAGACTCCCCGTACTCACTATTGAGGTACCTAATTCTTTTTAGTTTGAGTAAATTACAAATTTGGTCACCGTGGTTATATAAAAATTATAGATTAAGTCCTTCAAACTAACTAATTACAACGATTTTCATTTTATTATGGATTAGGGCCTCCTTTTAACTCGGCTAACATTAATAGAGTTAGAATTAAGTCAAAGGTCAATTTGGTTATTAATAATTTTCTTTTATTTTCTTTAAAAAAACTAGAAGGTTACTCGTACAATAGACAGAGATGCATCTTGATTTTAATATTTCATTTTATTATTTATCTCAGTCGATKTTATAATATGGTCTTATGTGATTTTGAAAAAGCGATGATGTTTTATTTTTAAATAAAATATAAACTTGAAGTATAATAAAAATTTGACAAAAATATATCGATATTAGTATCAAATTAACTATTTAAAATTCCTATTTTTTGTGTAATTTTTAATTCAAATTTTTTTATTATAATTTAATTTAGATTCTATAACGAAGTAATTTATATTTGTTTTAATAATATAATTTTCTTATAAAAATAATAATTAATTATTTTGTTATAACTCGATGATTATCTTAATTATATTTTAGACTTTTTTATTTTAAAATGAGATATTTATCCTCTATTTGATTATGATTATCCGCAGTTAGTTACACGAATTCAAACATGGAACTTTAATAAGTTGTACTTATGCATAATTTTACTTATAATCTTAAATTTTAAGTAATATGCATCAATATAGAGTAATTCATGCATAAAAAATGATTTTTAATAGTTTTTATGACTGGAGAGAGCAGTCGCGAGTTGGTTGACGGAGTTCTTGATGTTTGGTGGCAATGACCGGAGAGAGCAGTTGAACAAAGAAGGAGATGTATGGGGAGGAAGAGGGGGCAGTGGTCAGTAGCCAAAGTCGGAGATGATGGATGATGAAGGGCGTCAGAGAAAAGGCAAGGGTGTCGTCGATGAGATTCTTGGGGGAAGGAGGACGATGTAGTCATGCATGTTATAAAAGGCTATTCGTGCAATACAACGATATTCATCTCGATTTTACTGTTTCATTTTTTGTCTCCATCAATGTTATTATACGATTTTATATGGTACAGAAAAAAACAATATTGTTTTTATTTTTTTAAATAAAATATAAATTTACAGATATCATAACATTTTAAAAAAAATGTATCGGTTTAGTATAAAATTAAATATTTAAAAGTTTTTTTTTTTAATTTATTTAATTCAATTTTTTTAAATTATAATTTGGTTTAATAATATAATATTTTTATAAAGATAATAATTAATTATTTTGTTAGAACTCAATAATTATCCTAATTATATTTTAAATTTTTTATATTTTAAAATGAAATGTTTATCATTTATTTGATTATGTTTATCCACAGTTAGTCATACGAATTTAAACATGGAGCTTTAATAAGTTGTATTTATGCATCATTTACTTGTAATGTTGAATTTTAAGTAATATGCATCAATATACAGTACTTCATGCATAAAAAACGATTTTTAAAAGTTTTTGTCAAATGCTTTATAATATAGTATAGATATAGATACTAGAAGAGTACTCGTGCAATACAACGAGATACATTTTGATTTTAATATTTTATTTTATTTTTATCTCAGTCGATATTATAGTATGGTTTTAATATGATTTTGAAAAAGCCATAATATTTTTATTTTTGAATAAAATATAAATTTGAATATATAATAAAATTTTGATAAAATATATCGATATTAGTATCAAATTAACTATTTAAAATTCTTATTTTTTATGTATTTTTTAATTTAATTTTTTATTATAATTTAATTTAGTTTCAATAACGAAGTAATTTATATTTGGTTTAATAATATAATTTACCTCTAACGATAACAATTAATCATTTTGTTAGAACTCAATAATTATCCTAATTATTTTTTTTGGATTTTTCATATTTTAAAATGAGAGGTTTATCCAATATTTGATTATGTTTATCTGCACTTAGTTACACGAATTCAAATATGAAGCTTTAATAAGTTGTACTTATGCACAATTTACTTATAATATTAAGTCTATACTATATTATAAAGCATTTGACAAAAATTCTTAAAAACCATTTTTTATGCATGAAGTACTGTATATTGATGCATATTACTTAAAATTCAAGATTACAAGTAATTTATGCATAAGTACAACTTATTAAAGCTCCATGTTTGAATTCGTGTAACTAACTGCGGATAAACATAATCAAATAGAAAATAAACATCTAATTTTAAAATATAAAAAATCTAAATTATAAATAGAATAATTATTTCGAGTTCTAACAAAATAATTAATTATTATCTTTATAAGAAAATTATATTATTAAACCAAATATAAATTACTTCGTTATTGAACCTAAATTAAATTATAATAAAAAATCACACAAACAATATGAATTTTAAATAGTTAATTTGATATTAATATCGATATATTTTTGTCAAATTTTTATAATATCTTTAAATATATATTTTATTCAAAAATAAAATAAAAACATCACCATTTTTTTAAAATCACATAAGACTATACTATAACATCGATTGAGATAAATAATAAAACAAAACATTAAAATCGAGATGTATCTCGCTGCATTGCACGATAACCATTCTAGTTTTAAGTAATATACATCAATAAATAGTACTTCGTGCATAAAAAATGGTTTTTAAATTTTTTTGTCAAATATTTTATAATATAGTATAGATTTAACATATATCATTTTCTATTTCTTATAAAAAACAAACAAAAAAGTTGGAAACTACCATATTACCCCAATCTTAACGGAGCTAAGGCTACAACCAAATCCATAACAAAATTAAAACCATAATAATAATAATACTTGTAATTATTTTGTTTGAGAAACCCAGTTCAAAATTTTATAAACCACGGTGACCAAATTCATAATTTATCATAGAATCATAATAATCAATTTGAAAAACCTACTAAAATACAAGTCCTTAATATTGAAAAGCTTACAAAGTCAAGGTTTTAACAAACCACAGGGACTAAAATTGTAATTTACTCAAAAAAGAAATGAACCAAAATACCAACAGTGCACAGGGGAACCCTCCTTATCCAAGGTTGGAGTTCTTGGGTTCAAGTTGGTTTTTGACCTCGTATGACAATGGTTTCTGGGTGAAAGAATTTCAGAGATAATATCACACAGTGATTACACACACTTTCAAGAAATCTTTCTTTCCCAAATCCCATATCCCAATCCCAATATCATGGCGAGCATGATGGCTATATTCAAGTTGTCGCCTTTCTCATCGGGTGTTCCACCAACGACTGCTCATTCTTCAATTTCATTATCTTCAAAGAAATTCTTTCTCCCTCTGAAGCTTTCTCCACTGAGGAAGTCCAGCCGTTCTACATTTCCAAGTACAAGTTCTTCTTTCTATCAATATGTGTAGATTAAAGGCGAGCAATCGATGAAGTTCTCGTAAGAGTTCGTGGGTTTGAGTTACAATTTACAAAAACCCTTCAGTTATTTTTTTGCAATTGAATTTGTATGTATATTAGTAAGACTTTCTTGAACAAAGCAGAGTGGAATTGGTTTCAGGGTGCTTTTCTCTATGAATATGTGTAGATTAGGGATCCCTAATGTTAGTTCTTTATGACATGAATGTCTAGGAATCAAGTGATAAAATGGTATTTTGAATTACAAGTCTTACCAATTCTTGCAAAGTGAGAGTCTTGGTGCAAACACTATGATATGGTGTTTAGGGTTGATAATGTTGGTTCTTTTTTACCTTAATTTCCGGGTTTGAGTCACAAAACTTCCTTTTTTGTAGTTAGGGATCTTCTATATGAATATGTGTAGATTAGGATTGGTAATGTTAGGCAAATTCTACAAGTTGGCCATCTGAATGACAATGTTGTATCGCTTGGAAAATGAAAGTCACGGAGAAGAGGATGCTGAAGTGGACTAGCAGCAGGATTATGTTTGATAGTATGCCGAATGAGATTTTTCGGGCGGAACTAGGAGTTGCTCTATCGCAGATAAGTTGAGAAAGAGAAGGTTGAGGTGGTTTGGGAAACCGCTGATGACCCCTGTTAGTGTTAGGTGGGGTGGAGGAATCGAGGGGGTGAGGCAGGCCAAGGAGGACGTGGGATGAGCAATTGAGGCTGGATATGGAGGCTTTAGTTCTTGCAAAGGGAATGATCTCAGATAGGAGTATTTGGAGGCAGCGGATTAGGGTAGTCATCTGCAAGTAGAAGTGTTGTCTTTAGGATAGGTTGGTGATTTCTTGTGTTAGAGATAAGGAGTTTCCTTGGTGTGCCTAGTGTACTTTTTTTATCTTATTAAGATCTTTGCATTCTTTTAAAAGTCTATTGCTTATTTGGCCTATTATTGTATTCATAGATATGTTTCTTTTTTGTTTATGCAAGCCGGGGATCTATTTGGTTAGTCTCTTGGGACAGAGGTAAGGTCTTACGTACCTTCAGGTGGGATACACCGTGTCGGTTTGGTTTTAGTGTTGGTAATGTTAGTCAAACGTCAATGGTTCAAGTCATTAAGGTGATCTTTTGTAAATGCATGGCTTTTGTTGGTGCTTGAATCCGAGTAGTCTTTATGTGATGGGTTGTTCTTGTGAACGTGTTTAGATTCTATTTTTTTTCTTCAAAAAGCGAAATACTGATAGAAGTTAATCTTTGGATATTGCAGGAATTTATGCATTTTCTAGTAATGATATTAAGGTGGGTTCCAATGTTGAGGTAGACGGTTCTCCATGGAAAGTTATAGGTACTTCCCACTTGATTAACTTGTGACTTGTAGTGAAATATGTGCAATGCTAATTTGGCTTGAACGCCATAGATACTAGAGTGTGCCATTTGTGTTATGCACTTGTACTATTGAATACTTCATATATTTAATCTGTTTTTATTACTCAAAATAGGAACACGCTCTAAGTTTTGGTCACACAAGTCATTTGTAGGCCTACAAGCCGATAAAGATTTGTTTTTGGATTTAGAACAAGGATGTGGTGTTAACTTATCATCCCACAAAAGAAATGACAACTATGGATTCAAGAAATGTCTAGTTTGGTAAATCTGAGAGGTAGCTCAATTGATAAGGCCTTGGGTTTGCTCCCTAGTGGTCACTGGTTCGAGTCCCCTTAGGGGGCCACTGGACGTTTGCATGGCTGTTAACTTCAGAGCCCCATGGGATTAGTCGGGGTGCATACAAACTGGCCCAAACACCCACAATAGTGACAAAATGTCTAGTTTGGCCGTTTGACTACCCATAAGTCAAGATGAATATCCAATTCTATTTCAAAGCTAGTAATTAACTCAAGTAACTTTACAAAATGAAGATAGCTATCGGTTTTGCACACGTGTCAATAGATATCGAGTATCCAACACATTATGTACTGCCAATAGATATTTATCATGGAATATCTATCACGATATTCATTATGAATAATTCATGAATAGTTTGTTCTCACATTTCTCAGAATTTTTTATAGTTCTCAATTGAACCTGGCCCTAGTTTGGATATCTCCAAAGAAGCACACATTCTTGTAGTTTCATAGAATTCAAATTACAAAGCAGATAACGTATAGTTGTGTGGGTATGAAAGAAATTTAGAGGGAATCGATTATAATTGCGTTATCCCATTCTGTATTTTGATTATGTTGCTTGATCTTCAGAGTTTCTTCATGTGAAGCCTGGTAAAGGGGCTGCTTATGTGAGGACTACACTACGTAATTATGTGACGGGAAATTCTGTTGAGAAAACTTTCCGAGCTGGAAGCAAGGTAAATATAAATGTTCTTCATCCTTGTTAAATATGGTAAAATTTGGGGCAAAATGCATCAAAATACAAGAAAGTATATCTTATTTCCTCAATCGATGTAACAATCTTTCCTATTCTGTACCCATTTTGACGAGTAGGTTACAGATCTTGTAACATCCGATGGCATGCATGTCACGTGGACTACCAAGTGAGATTATAGTTCTATTATTTTTGTTTAAAACTCAAAAGATTTTTATTTTCACCTTTTAGATTCACGTAGACTGAGATGAAGCCGTTTTAACTGGTAAAATGAGGTATTGGTTATAATCGAGTTATAAAATCTTCAAACTGTAGGTATTGGTTTCTTATCAGGTTAGGAGTTTGATAAGTGGTTTGCTCTACTTCAAAAGCCAAAATGTACCTTAAATTAAGCTGTTTTTTTATATCTTACATTGATCTATATTTAATGCTCCTTATCAGATTGAACTAGCAGAGATTTCTAAGGAGACAAAACAATTCACATACAAGGATGGTCCGCAGTTTGTTTTCATGGATCTGGTATTTCATGTTCTTTCAAATATTGTATGCTTTATGTGTGAACTAGTCCTATGGAATTCGGAATTTAACTTGAGAATGGGAGAAGGGAAGCCATGAACGTGGGTCCGAAAATCATTGGGCCCCATCTTCATTCTTCTCACATCTCGTAAATGAGACCCACAATCATATTTTCTCCGAATGAACCAACCTGACCAAGTAAATCCCACTTGAAAGTAGGGTCTTTGAGGGGGGCCCCGGGGGGGGGGGGGTGAGATATATATTGCTTCCATCCCAAACTAGATGTAGTTGTTCGGCCCTCCATCGAAGGCCATATTTGCAACCATAAGCTAGCTTATTTATAAAACCCTCTAGTTTGGTTAGCTATAAGCTAGCTTTTTGACAAAGTTAATTCAAGTAGCGTTTCAGTAAGCTCAATGAGTTTTTTCTTTTTCATTTCTGTTTTTCCTCCAATTAATATTTCAACATGTCATTTTAGGTCATTTTACATTGTCATCTAACTAATCAACTAGCTTTTACCAAACATGACTAGTTTATCTCAACTAACAGCTAGCTTGTCAGCTAGTTTACCAAACACAGCCTAAGAGCTTATGCTAGCAAATCGAGGGACCAACAACTACATTTTTTTTCCTTCAATTTTGTCCAAATTTCGGAATATTCTATTGCAGACTTCGTATGAGGAAGTTCGTCTTAATGAGTCCGATATGGGAGATAAGACGAAATGGCTAAAAGAAGGCATGGATTGCATTTTGTTGTTTTGGAAGGGAAAGGTATGCTTTTGTTATAAACTCTGTATGTCTATGTTAAGGATATCTTGAACCCCTTTGAATCTCTCTCATAAAGAGCCTTTATTCTCACAAGGGTTTATCATCTTTGCAGGTTATCGATTTTGAGCTCCCAATACAGGTTAAGGTGACTATAGTCGAGTCTGATCCTGGTGTGAAAGGTGATAGCGCTCAAGGTATTATAAATATGACTAAAATACCCCTCCATTCTATAAGTCAAATGTCTAAAATACCCCAAGGTGAAGACAAAAAAGGGACATTTGTGCATTAGGAACAATAGCATCGGTGGTTTTGACAATGACAATGAGCATATATGCGAGTTTCATTTGAAAATTTACCCAAAACTCGAACTATTTAACTCATGACATATCCCAAAATAGAAATAGTTGCATCGTATTTTGAAAACATAAGACGCGGTAACTTAGAGCTCATAGAATACTCCGGCAGTCAAAATTGCATGAAAATGCAAAGTATTTTGGTTTGATTCTTATTTTGTGTAACATTCTTTCAAATCCATCGTTCTCGGACCTTAAATATGATATTTTCATACACTATGTAAACTAGGTACCAAAATGCTTGAGATATCACATCTGAGGTACCAAAATGAAGGTTTTGAAAGTACTTCACACATGATAGGAATCAAACCAAAGTGTGTTGCATTTTCATGCAATTTCTCTGTGTCAAAATAAATGAATTTATGAAGCCAAATCAACACCATCAACAATGGGCAAATATATATCGGTAAATAGAAATCTATTAGAAAATAGATACCAACTTCAAAAAGTTACGTCGGCAGCCCACACAGCTTTAGCCTAGCGGGTAAGAAAATGAGCATCATTGCAGAAAGTTACTTTGGCAATTTTAATTTGTAGACTAAAAGTGATTGTTACAACTGTGGGCATCTGGCCAGCTGGCATGCACCTCGACTAATCCTATAAGGCCCTGAAGTTAACAGTCAGGGACTCGAACTGGCCCTAAGTTCCTCCTTCTGTTATGTTTGAGGGCATTTTAACTTAAATTGTTTGTTATTATCGGCAGGCGGAACAAAACCAGCCACAGTGGAAACAGGTGCTGTTGTGAATGTTCCTTTGTTTGTAGAAAGAGGTCAAGAAATTATCGTCGATACGAGGACCGGGCAGTACGTGAGTCGTGTATGAAAACGTTCCCTTAACGGTTTTTCCGCAGAAAAGTTTTGCTCAACCACGAGTTTCTATCGTAGCTTTATAGATCCTAGAAGGGTATGTTAGTAAATTCACTGTGAAAGGAGATGTACTATACATATTGTATGAACCATGAATGTACTCACCTGATAGGAACTTATTTTATAAGAAACTTTCAGAGTTCTTTTATTTGTCTGCTAATTTTATTAAAACTAAACCAAACAAATCCAATATATTCTGCACGAAGATGGGGTATGGAAGATAAGATATATGCAGACCTCACATTCACCCTAAAAAGTAGAGTGGTAAGACTTTTGGCTTGTGCATAGTGTGCAAAAAAAGATAAAGGTTGCTCAAAAAATTGCGAAAGAACACATGCCGCTAATTTCATTGTGTATTATGAATACAAGTGATGCAACTGTGAATTGATTCAATACGATAAACAATTACACTTTCTATAATATGGTATCAGAGCTATTATGGGTTTAGGTATTGGATTTGTCACCAAGGGAACACATGAAGGAGAGAAGAATCCAATGAATACATGCATGCAAACTTAACCAAAACGTATTCTATATATCTCACTCGAATTTAGAGTTTGGGAACGCATGATATATTCACTTGAATTTGGGGTTTGGGAATACATGCATGCCAACTGTTTGATATAATTCCTGAGAGTATCTTTCAAATTACTTGTGAATTCATTGTACATGATTAGTGTTAGAATTTAGTTCCTTTGATCTGATCATGGATGTCGAGCCTGACGATGAAAAATATTTCCATCGCTCCAAATGCTACCCATAATGGATGTCGAGCTCCAACATTAAAATAGTAAAATACTACGACGGTTTTGTTGCTAAATAATGCTACGATAATGGATGTTGGGGCCAATGCATCCGTCATTATTGCTCTAAATGCTACCATTTTCGCCAGCCAAACTCCAAATCATGTCCAAGATGACATCATAGAATATGAATTCTTCATGTTCATCTTTGAGGGGGTTTGTATGAATACAAGGGTATAGTTCTGTACTTTCTAATATTTATATACAACAAAACTAACAGATATAGATCACCTCAATGGGACTTAAATTTTTGACCTTCAAAAAAGTTATCTACTTGTAATCTGAGTATTCTGAGCCATTGACCCTTTAGGACAAGGGTATAGTTGCAAACTCATTAGTTAGTTGGGTCATTTGTCTAGTAAAAATACACAAAATGTAACTCTCAATTGATTCAATAAAATAAAATTTTCAATTTCGTAATAACAGTCTATGTTCTACACTGGTTTCCGTAGCAGGTTCACTCTGTTTTTCAGTGCGACACAGTACACGCAAGTAGCAAGTTTAAACATGCCTTGTCGATTCATCTCATCAATCAAAACGTCAAATGTGACACCATCGAGCATTCCACGTCTTCCCCTGCACACCAAAACCAAAACTAACAGCGCTTTCTCAATCTTTCCCTCGACACAAAGCCCTCTAACAACACTGTTCAATGTGAACGTTTTTGGAGACAAATTCATCTTTATCATCTCACACAAATTCATGAAAGCCTTGTCCATTTCATTCCCGTTGCAAAACGCTTCAATCATTAGCTCATGAGCACAAGGGTCAATATCAACACCTCTTTTAGACATTTCATCGAACAGTTGGTAGGCGTCTTTCAGTAGCTCTTTTTCCTTCCTGGATCTCCTGCATATCCCTCTTAACAATGTGTTCATCATTCTCCCATCAATATCAAATCCCATATCTAACATCTGATTATAAACCCTTAACCCATCCCCAATTTCTCCCCATTGTAACAACCCATGTAACAATGTGCTGTAACTAATATAATCTGGATTGCAATTCCTTTCTTTCATTTGCTTCAATAAACCAAAACCATCTTTTGGTCTACCTTCCTTAAAATAGCCATTAAAAATGGTGTTGTAAGTCACGATACTTGGTTTTAATCCCATCTCAATTGCTTCATTAAGCAATTCTAAGGCCTCATTTGACCTACCCACTTTGCAAAATCCATCCATCACAGCAGTAAAACTATAAACATCAGGCTGCAAATTCCAAGATTTCTTGATTTTGGTTAACAGTTCATAAGCTTCTTCAACCTTACCCACATAACACAACCCTTTTAACAAACAATTATAAGTATTGATTGTGGGATCACATTTAACCTTACCCATTATCTCAAACACTTCAAATGCCTGCTTTAATTTACCCCTTTTGCAAAAGGAATTGATAAGTTGAGTAAAGGTTTTGACTTTTGGGGATTCAAAACCATTTTGAATCATATGTTCCAAAACCCTTTTAGCTTCCATTGGCTCATTTCTCTTGCAGTAACAGTGGACAAGAATGGAGAAAGTGAAACTATCTGCAGAAAAGTCATAACTTGATAAAGTTGAGTAGAATTTATAAGCAAGATCCACTTCATTTTCCAAAACCAAACCCATAAACAGATGATTGAACTGGGTTATGGTTTCAAAGTTTCCATCTTTGAATCTTTCTGCCAAATCTTGAATCTTTTTGCTTCTGTTTTTGGCTTCTTGAACTGGGATTAAGCTTCTGTTTATCGATTGAGCATGAGCTGGTGGTGGTGATGGTGATGATTGGTTTGTTGCTGCAGAGATGACAAAATGGGATGGTTTTGAGGGGATGAAGAAAAGAGAAGTGAAATTAAAATTAGATGGAGGAAATTGAAAGCGAGATTGAGGCAACGAAGAAGAGGGTGAAGCTCTAGCAAATGGAGAATTCATGTCGGCTAGGAAGAATGCAGGTTGCTTGAAGATTATATTATAAAGAGTAAATTACATCTTTGGTCCCTTAGGTTTGTCAGAGTCTACATACATTTCCAATTTCAAAATAAGTACACACGGTGTCCCCACGGTTTGGATTTCATTACCATCTATGCTCATGTCTCTAACAGAGTTAACTCTAATTAAGGGGCAACTTGATCCTTTTAACTCTCTTTTTGTCTTTTTCATATTAAATAATATATAGATATATATTTCTATATAAGGTTAGATTTCGTTGAGAATAGAAGTTATGATGAGCTCTCGACCTTTAAATATATTCTAATTGAAGATCAATACTAATAAGATGCACTGAGATGTACTAGATCAATTCTCGTGTTGCAATTCATGGGGTGGGATAAGATTAAAAATGATCAAGGGTCCAAATCCATTCTTACGCTTCGTATCTTAATTCCTATTCACACATGATCCTTCGTCTCTCTCTCCACACACACACACATGTGTATGTGTAAACACCCACACATCTTCAAAGGCTCCCCATTTCATCCCTATTTATATCGCCTCCTCCTTCCGACCACCACCTCCTCCTTCATGGGATGGGATAAGATTAAAAATGATCAAGAGTTCAAATCCAATCTTTCACTTCTTATCTTAACTTCTATTCACACACGATCTTTCATCTCTCTCTCTCTCTCTCTCTCTCTCTCTATATATATATATATATA